GAAAGATCTTGGAGGGAGCACTTTTCATATTTTGAAAAAATAATTCGTCATGCTACATAACCATAGAGTACTTACCAGAGGCGACACTCTGTCAAAAATCATATTCTGTCAACGTCAACTTGAGTTCTATGTGTTTGGTGGGATTCCTGTTGCTGTGACATTTAGAGGGTTATCCGTGGAATGTTTTGACACGTGACCATAACACAGTTTTATCAATACAAATCAATTATCTGGCCTAAATACACTTGGAGAAATAATAAACACAAATTTCTTCGTTCTGGAGCTTGACATATAACAATATGACATTCGTGACGTCAGGCTAATAACACGTAACAACCCCTAGGAAAAAATCTTCCGGGCGCGGGAAATATGGTGAGCGGTTGGGGACACGAAGATCAAAGGGACCGACAGCAGATATCGCATCTGAATAATCCCTGATATAACCTCAAATGTAGCTTAAAATCGCTTGGTTCTTTTTCACGAGTATCCATCATGGTAAAATGACAGCTAATTATCTAGTAATATTTCAAAGTTCCCCATATCCGCAAAGAACACATAATTCTGACGGATCAGTCAATGCCACTTAGATAGAGTCGTATTTTGTTTTGAGTTTTTGTACACTGCAGATTCATTTTGTACTTGCTAAAAGCTATTTTACTTAGGAAAGTTCATTTGCATACAAAAAACAAAACGCTGCAAACAAGTTTTACTAGATTTACACCCGAATCATTATTGCCAACCTTGCAGATTAACACAAAAATGTCACTTGCTGATCAACTGTTTACCTAAGTAGACGTCAAAGGGTGATGGATACTCGTGAAATAGGGTATATCTTCGCGCACAAAGGTTAGGATATCTCAATAACTAGAGCCAATTTAAATATTTGGATTCGGATTCAGCGCATCAAAAACCACGAAAGCGTATTCTGGTTGGTGAAGTAGAAATTTTGTCTGCTTATGTAATCTAGACTGACCCAAGTAACGGCGCTACAGCGACGGTTGCCAAGTCGGTTGTTTGCCGGTTTCATCTCCGGCTGCAACTGCTCCAGGTGATGGTCACGGTGATGCTACTGAAGCTGCACCGATCATGCCCTAGCCACCTGGACACCCCAACCACCAGCATGGCAATCTGCAACAAAACAAATAGCGTCAAATACTCTCTGACTCTGCACCTCCTACGCTACGCTGCCATCAGTTCATGAAGGATTTATATTCGCCTATCAAAGAAAAAAGTTAACTTGAAACAATATATGTATGTATAAAAAACAATTAGTCCATAGTCCCCACCATTTGACAGCGGATATACGCAGCATCGCTAAGCTATCCCTCAGCATTTGAAAATATACAGGACCGCATTTTAAGGGGGTCTTCTATATAACATTTTTTCCACTAGTGCTTCAATTTGATACAAATAATTACTCTTGTGTTTTTACTTAGAGTGCATTATTTTCGTAAAAATAAAAAACAAATTACATAATCAAAGCTTTATTTCAATAAATGTTCAAAAAGACCACCATTCTGACGGATACAAGTGCGGCATCTTTTCAACAAAGTAGAACGTATTTCCGCAAAATTTGTTATGGCTTGAATTTGATGAAACGCATTATCTCTTATTTCTGGTAACTGATCAACAGTATCCGTTTCTGCTAATCCATCGTTGTCTAAAATGATTATTGCACTATGCGGTTATGTCACGACGAACATGCGGTGGAGCATCGTCGTGCTCTTGTTATATGAGTTTGCATTTACACGTTATGAAAATACGTGCATAAGCAGTTGGCCAATGAAAATGCCGCTCCAGACATTTCTAGAAAATCTGTGTTGAAACGAGTAGATTCTATCAGAACGGAGATTTTCTAATGACCAAATATGTTCATTATGAAAATTTAAGATTCCACTCCTCCTAAAAAACGATTCATCTGACCACAAAACCAAATTAATAAAATCTGCATTTTGATTATGCATTTGCAGTAACCACTCACAAAAATTACGCCGTTGCACTTCGTCGCCGGGTTGCAGACATCACGATGGTAAGGATGTAAAACTTCCCGATTTAAAATTCTCCACGCAAGACTTTGGGAGTATGCTAACTTGTCTGCAATCCGCCAGTACTTGTACTAGGATCATCCAATGCCAAATTAATGACTTCCAGATCCTCTTGAACAGTACGCCGGATACAATGGCCTCTAACTCCGAGAAGTTTGGCAATTCCATATTGCCGAAGTCTCAGAAATGAACGCGTAAAAACCTTTAGGGTAGGTTGACGTCTGATAGGAAATCTACGTTGGTACTCCCGAGAAGCCGCTGAAGCATTTCCATTACAGAACCCGTGCGCAAAATTAATATCGGCGTACTCATCATTGCTGCATTCCATTTCGCAACACTCGAAGATTGAAAAAAATAAAATTTTGATTTGATTTTTACAGCCTCCTATTTTATTTTGAAACTAATTATATCTCGGCTCTTTATGAATGATCTAATTTGTTTTATTTTTATTTTAACAATACCAGTGCACTCTAGGAAAAACACATGAGTAATTATTTTTAGCAAATTGAAGGTAATATACGAAAAATTGCGCGTTTGGAAAAATAAACGGTGGCCTACTATTTTTATTTGAAAAAATAATGCCACCAATCCTCTGTATCTCCGCCACTGGTGCACGTTAGTTTCAAGAAAAGACTTTTGAATGTGGACAATACTCAGGTAAATCCACAATCCAAATTTAAGTTCATTCCAGTTGACGGTATTGAAGATATTAGAAAAAACATTATTTTTAAACTTCAACATCCAGTATCCTTTTAATAAAGCCCTCGAGGAAAAAATATTACATAGAAGATCTCCCTCAAAATGTGATCCTGTGTATGATGTTTTATTTTTGGTCACGACTTGTTAATCACCCTGTAAAAGTTAGTCAAACAGGTCGATACATAAAAAATTTGTATATTTAGCATGCTTTTTTGTAAAATGTTGGGGCTCCTTTGACTTGTTGTGCCTAATAGGTGTCGAATAGGTTTATCAACATCTAAAAAATTTTCTGAAAATAATCAAGAGCCTCTGAAAATCAAATAAAAATGATTGAGAGATCTTTACCTTCTTGCCAGTAGCTCGACCACCTTTTCTCAGATGTTCAGTTAAATTCGTCACATGGGCCGCGAGAGTGAGCAGCGGCTAGTGCACTTTACATACAATGTCATTCGAAGTCATAAGGGCAAATATACTGAGTGATATACCAGTGATAGGTGCGTAGAATTGGAGGGATAAGATGTTCATAAATATGACGCCTACAAAAAATTGCGATAGTTACCCCTAAAAAGATTCTCAAAAATAGTCAGGATCCTATGAAGCGTCAAAGAACAAGCTTGAGCTTTTGGCCTTTTTCTCCGCCATCATCGAACGATTTCCAAAAACTACAAGTCTTTTTCGTCCTTAGCACAGTAGTAACCTTGTGTGAAAATTCGAGCTGTATGTTCGAAGTTATAGACGAGCCAAGGATTAGCGGAAAGACCGACAGACAGACAGACTGACGGAAGTGAGTGACATGGTTTTTCGTGGTGAACATGTCATATAACGTAATATCTCATGTTTAGTAAAAATACAACCCGCCTGCAGTAACAAAATTTTAATCATGCGTTTAAAATCCGCCATATTGATCTTATAAAATTTTAGTATACCCACTGTCAGTCTCACTGTCAAACAAAATCTAGATATGTCAAAATCCAATAAGCTGTTTAAGATTCGCCCTGTATAAGGGATAATTGACAATACGTCATATTTTTGCTCGTGAAAGTTGTCAAGTTTTTCAATAGAAAACCCGATTTAAAAACATGGAGATAGACTCTGGAGGTCAAAGTAATGATCCCCCAGCGTCCCCGATGATGAATGGACCCAGCCAGAAGGAGAGAACAGAAATTACCAAGAAATCAAAGGAATTGATGACACCAGCTGTAGCAGACGAAAAGGACGGAACCATCCAGCACCAGACCCTGATCATCGAAAGCCAGGCCCAGCAAATAAAGGAGCTGACTGAGACAATGAAATCAGAGGAATTGATGACACCAGCTGTAGCAGACGAAAAGGACAGAACCATCCAGCGCCAGATCCTGATCATCGAAAGCCAGGCCCAGCAAATAAAGGAGCTGACCGAGACAGTTAGGGATCAAAACAGTAAAATAGACTGCCTGACCACCCAGGTAACACAGTTAATCAATAATGCAAGTTTTAATTCTAAATCTGACAAGGCTGTCAATTTAAAAAGACCTCTTGAAAATTTAACTGACCTGACATCGACCGACGATGAAATACAGAATGACGGATTCATCCAGGCCAAGTCTAGGAAAAGACGCATCGACAAAACGAACAAAACCGACAAGACGGATGACTTCCCACCTCTTCCAAAAGCAAAATCAAAATTCAAGTTGACAATCCCCTCAAAACCTTCTGCTTCATTAAACGTATTAACTTCTTCTGCCACTTGTCCTATGACGGTCGATGCAGCGACCTCATCTTCTCAATCTTTGGTCACTGCATCGACTGACGGTGCATTATCTCAACAATCTCACGTTGCTGGTGAGTTGACCAGCACAGCACCCCGCCAGAAGCAAATCACGCCCATTGTTTTGCGTGATGCGACCAAGTGGCGACATCTAAGCTACACCTTTATAAGCTTAGGCATTAAGATAGAACGTGCAGTTGCCGTTGATGAGGGAATCAGGATTTTGCCGAAAACTGAGGATGACTACCGAAGAATCGTTCGCCTGTTCAGGGAGGAGGACGTGCCCCATCATACGTTCCCTCTTCCTTCAGAACGAAATATTCACGGGGTAGTCAGAGGCATACCCGCAATGTTTTCGGAACAGGAGATCAAAGGGGAATTAGAACAGAGGGGATATACTCCTCTCCACATTATCCGACTCAAACGCAGTGGCGGCGCACCCATGCCTTTGGTGGTCGTGATACTGCCCAAGATTGAAAAGTCCCAGCAGCTGTTCAATGAACATGAGCTGCTGGGTCTAGCAATCAGAGTTGAAGTTCAAAAGAACTCTAGACTTATTGGGCAGTGTCACCGCTGCCAAAGATATGGTCATGCGCAGTCTTACTGCACAGCACCTCCCAAATGTTTAAAATGTGCTTCCGACCACATGATACATTTATGCCCCCTCACAGGACAAGAGGAGCGAAAGTGTGCGAACTGTGGAGGGGCCATCCCGCTAACACTCCCACTTGCAGATTCACCCCCAGGCGAAATCTGGAAGTTATAGCGCAAAGACGCAGCAAGTCATACGCGGAAGCAGCCGTCTCAACATCTTCGGCTGCCTCCTCTGTTCAACCCGCTTTGAACACGCAGAATGTGGACCTAGCAACTGTGCTTAGGTCCCTTCAACAAATAATAAGTCCCCTGATTAGCGCCACTCAGGCATTGCAGGCGGTCTTTCCGCAGACATTGAATGGCTAAGTACAATAGACCACCTGCATTTATCATCTGTCAGGTATCTTGGAGTCATCATTGACAAGGGATTGACCTGGCAGAAACATACTGATATTTTGAAAACGAAATTCCAAATAACCTTTCGGCAGCTTTATCCTCTGTTGTGCAGAAATTCAAAATTAAGTTTGATCAACAAGATTCGGTTGTATAAAATGATCAAGGACCTAAAATCACATACGCATGCGAGGCTTGGTGTTTTCTTGCCAAGACGCACATTCAGATACTGCAAGTCCTGCAAAACAGAACCCTACGCACAATTCCTAACGCCCCTTGGTACGTGTCAAATTAGACTATTCACAGAGATCTTGATATCCTACGTATATATTTAAGGGATTACGTAAAAACAACAGGCGCAGTGGTGTTATAATCAAGCGAAATCGCACAGCAACCCCTCTGTTGCGTGATTTAAACATGTTTGGTATCTGGGTAGCCAGACCTGACAGACTAACAGACCGACGAGACTTTTAACTAAGGGCAAAGGTCCACCGGACCGCTCTGACGAATAATGACGAATAGTATAGCAAGCTGTTTAAGTTGCAGCCCGTCAAAAATGAATATCAAGGTCAAATTTGTCCATTATAGTCCGCTATTTTTTATAAGATTATGATATACCTACTGTGACTTGCACTGATAAGATGAACGCAATCGCTACTCATATGTCAAAATCCATCAAACCCCTTGACCTGAATCAGAAGTTTTTTCACACCATAATCTTTAGAATTCGCTACTATGATCTTATCTTATCTATCTTATCTAGAGTGCTTAAGTTTATTCATCTAAAACGTATTATCTCATAAATTAGTTGAGTGATTTTGATGAAACCCTGTGATTGGTTTTTTACGTAACAGCACTCTATTATAATGATAAGTTATAAAGATAGAAAATGCAAAACTGTCAAGTAGACAAATGCATGCTTATAATAAGGAAGCCTTAAGTAGATGATAATGGTCCCTAGCAAAAATCAAACCGATAAAGTAGGCCAAATAGGTGATACGAAGTTTTAAGAGCAGTCGTGCTTTTATCAAAAAAGAACACCATCCTTAATGATACTTCCACGTAATGGTAGGCTTTTTTGCTGGTATACAACCCCATCTACTGAGTTAATTGCACTTACAACATCCCAAGAGGGAAAGGCTGTATAGCGGAATCCTTTTATACCTGCAGTCGACTGTTAAAGAACATTATCAGTATCCGAATAATAAAAGCAGGGAATCTACTTTAAAGAAAGCTGTTTTATATAGTTTGTTATAGGTCTTTTTGTTTGTTAAGAGCTTCAAAAATCAGAATCTCTTTAGGATAGTGTTGGATCAATATGGTTAGATATTATATTTGAAATATTTTCCTCTTATTGTAGCATAGAGGCAACTAGTTTTTTCCCACTAGGTGTCATACCATATTGGATTAGTTAGTTAAATTAAGCGTGAATTGATAGTAGTTTTGATTCCACCAAAAACTTCTAAATAGGCAACAAAACATTTTTACACACTAACGGTCACGCAGACAGAACCTGTTTATCGTAGTACCGTGACTGCTGTCAAGGTTAGTAGAATCATTGATTAACGTATTCTACCAAGTTAGCTATCCTAATGGTATACTCACCCGTCCAAAAAAATATTCGAAATAAAATGAGGTACCGTAGTGTCATCTGAGAATTTGTCACAGTTGTCTCTCTATGCACTATACAGATTGATTCACAAGTCGTGACCATAAATGAAACATCATACACGGGACCGCATTTTAAGGTGTATGTAACATTTTTCCCCGAGGCTACATTAAAAAGAAAGGGGGTGTTGAAGTTTAAAAATAAAAAACATTTTTTTTAATATCTCTAAAACCGTCAACTGAAATGAACTAAAATTTGGTATGTGAATTTATAAATTGTTCATATTCGTAAGTATTTACTTATAATTAACGTACACCAGTGGCGGAGATACAGGGGATTGGTGCCATTATTTTTCAAATAAAAATAAAAATAGTACGCCACTTTTTTTTTTCTAAACGTGCAATTTTTTAATTTCACCTTCAATTTGCTACAAATAACCTCCTTATTTTCCCAGAGTGCATTGTTTTCGTAAAAATGAAAAAAACAAATTAGATAATCAAAGTACTATTTCAATAAATGTTCAAAAAGATCACCATTCTGACGAATACAAGTGCGGCATTTTTTTAATAAAGGAAAACATATTTCCGCAAAATTTGTTGTGACTTGAATTTGATGAAACGCATTATCTATTCTCTCTTGTAACTGATCATCAGTATTAATTTGTTCAGCATACACTAGTTGTTTAAAAGCGCCCCACAAAAAGAAATCCTGGGGGTTTAAATAAGGAGACCTCGCAGGCCAATGTGCGGGTCCGTTTCTGCCAATTCATCGTTGTCTAAAATGATTATTTAACCATGAGTTTGTCACGACGATCATGCGGTGGGGTACCGTCGTGTAGATGTTTCATTTTTGGTCATATCTTGTGAATCACCCAATATATACTTTGATGGATGAATTGCTGGAAATCAAATGTCGACGCAAATGTGAAGGTGTGAGTAATTGGCGCTTGCATTGTTCTCATTTTCTATCAAGGATAAGTCGGACACGCGTGAATTCACTAGCTTATCAGGTTGCAGGGATGTTTCCGCGATGTCTCCCATCGAAGCAACTTTGAGAAATTCTCGACAAGGATCCCTGCCTTATCAGGCAAGTAAATTTGCAACAAAGAATGCTAGTGAAGCTACAAGAGCAACCAATCACAGACCTACCTGTCCATTTAGCTTTCACCGCCATGGTAGCAAAGCAGACGACAACAAATTGTCTTGCAATCCTCCACAAGGACTGGAGACAATTTCTCCCGATTAGCGAGCTCTCTAAAAGAAAATCCGCCTTCACGTAACCCGATGATCCGACCCCTCGGAAACTTGAGTGAACTCTGAGCATGATAATGCAAATAGAACCAACACAGAAAAATCACTGAATATTAAGTAAACATATTCATATTGTTCGGGTCCTGATATGACAAAAAAAAGCCTTTAGAAAAAAGTACGGCTGGGAATACATTCAACATTTTATCAGCGTATACTTCCATAATAGAAAATATGTTTACAAGCTTTTATAAAAATTCAATAAATAATTCTGGGTGTTGCATTTTATATGTCATATGTGTATGTATATTTTAACACGGCCTACAGAAAATTTATCATACTTTGATTTCTAATGAAACATTTTCCGATACCACCAAAACATAGATAGCTTATAGTACTTGGATCGGCGAGCGATATACGGAAAAACTTCGTTATCCAATAACAACCTTCTATTTCCACTAACAAGCAAGCATATCCTATATTTTTCTGGGGAGATGAAACGTCGTCTGCCCTGCATACGTGACTTCGAAGAAAATCCTGCAAGGAATTGTTCTTTCCGTATTGTGCTGCCATCATAAATGTCACGAAAAAAGGGGAAAAAGGTGCCGTTAGAGATTTAGGTCATGTCAGGTATTATAATAACTAAAGCCCATTAAAATACAATCAATAGTGTTTTTATACGGAAGCAGCCGCGTAGCAAAAGCCTAAATACGGAGATTAAAAACACTTTTTTAATTCTATTTTTGAAATGCCTAGGGTTAGAACAACTGGGAAATGCCTCCTCAGGCAGATTGTTCCACAGAGACAAACGAGTGGTCGTAATGGCCAGCTTAGGATGTAAAAACTTTGACACGGATAGGATGGGAGACCGAAGTCTGGCGGGTCTGTGTGACCGGCTCATTGCGAGGCGGCATCATGCATTGACATAGCAGTAGAAGAGAGCCAGATGGCAGACGGCCCTTCGGTGCGAAAGGGTGTTGAGACTGTCCATTAGAGAAGAGCCATCGGTCAGTCAGACAGACCTCCTCTCAAGAGCATTGAGCATGGATAATACAGTCGGGGCGGCAAAACCCCTAACATGTAAGAAGTACTCGAGAATAGGCCTTATCTGGGCCTTCTACAAACTGAGGAGGTTATGTGAAAAAAATACTTCTTTTAACCCTTAACGCTTTTTCCCAGCAGCTGCCGCGATTGACGATATGTGTTCGTGCCAGATCAAATCAACACATGAACAACAAATGAATCGAAATACAATGAATTCTCCTGGCTTCTGACTCTTATTCTAACTCATTTGAGACTTGTATACGATGTATACACTAGTGGACAACCGGCCAAGATTTCGGCCAAGTTTCGACATAAAGAAAGGTTTTTGTCGAGGTTTTGGTTTCGCCCACAAATCGGTCGAACTCTTCGGCTTGGTCGAAACATACCTTCGTGATTCGTGAACTCTCCGGCTGTACTTAAACGGTTGTCACCCTACTAATATCTGAAATGACAAAATGTAGAGTTTTGTTACTCAATCACGCCAAAGTGGCTGAACGGTTTTGGATGAAATTTCGTACAGAGATAGATTATAGTCTGGAATAGCACTTACGCTAATTCTTGTCCCGGAAAATATTTTTGAAACGGGATACAGCCAAAACGGCTTAATGGGATTTCACAGGAGCGCTCAGTCGCTAGTCCGACCGAAATGAGTAGTGAGCATTTGCATAGTGCATTCAGGGTTGCCAACTTTGTGATCTTCCCGCTAGATCTGGTGGGTTGAGGTCCTCACCTAGCAGTGAGTTTTTCAATTTAATGGCTCCTGTGAAATCTGGTGGATTGCGTTCATTGGATTGGCACTGACAACCACAAGCACATTTAATACCTGTATCTCGTTTCCAGTTACCGGGTTACAGCGAGATTATACAGCTTATGACTATGATGTTTCTGATGAGGTTGTAGCTACCTCAGAATGTTACAAAGCTAATGAATTTGAATAATTAATTGACTTCTTTGGTATTCCACAATAATTTCAAGTCGATTAGTATATTCTTTTAATTGTCACTCGACCGTGATGCATGTGATTCAATCGTTTTTAAGCTTTGAAGGAAAGTATTTATTAAATTAGTTGGAATATTTTATCTATATCTACTCTGTTTACTAT